TCTCTTTTCGACAGTGAGGTCCCAGGACTGTCCCACCACCGTAGACTGGCGTATTTGGAGGTGCGGAGCCAGAACCGTCCTACCACCGTAGACTGGCGTGTCTGGTAGTGCGGAGGATAACTATGGACAGATTACCGTAACTGTCCATTGTCCGTTCTCTCAACTGCGCCGTCTTCGCGATGCATCGGCCATGGTATCCATAAGCCCAGAGCACAGATCGGCCCGTAACTCTTCCTGATTCTGTCCAAGATCCTAGAGGAAAGCATGTGGTATGCGTTTCCGAACTCTGCCCGCTCGGAAGACGGGAATGTCAGAATCCACTGTCAAGATTTGGTTCCTTGGGAGGCTTAGCACGTACCTTGGCCATTGTACGCACTCTCTAAATCTGATTCTGGTCGCATGGGGTTGTTTCGCAGAACTGGACCTATTTCCTAGCTGGCCCCACGCACTGCGCCCCACAAAAAAGACAGAGTGCAATAACGGCTGCGCTATCCGACACCTCTCGCGACCTGACAGGGACTGCGCACATCTCAGAGCAAACTCCTGCGTTTATCGCCGACGCACACACCGACAGATTAGCGAGGCGTTATGGAGCTGATTGATCCACGAGCTGGGTGTTTGCGCAGTCTGCGACCCGATAACCCCCGAGACGCGACTACCCCAGTACCCCACCCACCTTCTGGAGGAGAAGACCCACGAGGAGGATAAACTGAAAGAAGAACGCGATGGCCCTTGGATGACTGGGTCGTCAACTTGTTTTTGCTTTTGAAGGATGGATATGAGAAGAAGAGGACTCAGTAGGGGATGGGCCACCGGACTTGGATGTTGACGGAATGGAAGTTAAATCCCCCACCGCGAATGAGATTTGAAAATGCTATGGCAGGTCTTCAAACAGTGTATCAAGAAACTCATCTCCTTGGATGTTGGATTGAATCCAGGGAATCAAGGACGTTGACTGTCAGTTCTGGTTGTGTGTGGAGTGGCTAGGAGATACTCTGGGGGAAGAAGAGAAGAAGAAGGTGGAAGGAAGGTGGGAGAGGGGGTTTTTATGTCAGAAGACAGGAAGTATCCGGCTCTCTATCCATTGACACCCTTTCATGTTGCTATTCACAATGATATCGATATTCACTCTGATCAGCTGGCTTCCTTGTATAAGAGGAGAATTGGTTTATGATTATATACCCAGAACATTGAATCAGTGTCATGTCATGTTCACTCCGTCAAAAAAGCCTGATGGTGAAAGAGACCACAGCATAGAGTAATGTCTTGCAGTAATGGGGCCTAAAGGTCAAACATTTCACCAGGGCTTTCTGGTGGTTGTGAACTATGTTTGCGAAGCGCAGCTGCCGCAGCATAAAATATTCTACCTCGGCTGAAGCCGATCCCGCCTATTGAGGCCGTCAATCGATACACTGTCTATTGTCTCACCCACACCAACAACATCGGCACCCCCAAATCCTACCAGCAAATCCCTTACTGCAAGAAAAAAATTCCTTCAGCTGAGCTCCCCCTCAGAGAATAGAGACATGTGTTTCTGCACCATGCAAGGTGTTTTCCCCAGCAACCCCGCCCACAGTAAATCCCTTATCGGCGACGCGGTGGGTCTTGCGGGCTTTTTGACCAACCACCAGGCCGCGCACGATAGCAGCTAAGGCGCGGATGGGGCCCCTCCAGCCATATTTCTGCTTATCATTAAGAAATCCATCATGTCTCCCCTCTTTTCCTTCGCACCTTCACACTCACTCTGCTGCTGCTGTTCCGTGCGGCCAAAAGCAGCATCATGACTTATACTCCCACCATCGGAGGGAAAGTATGGGGCCAGAAATGGCGCTCCTCGCCCTTGTTCATCGTGGGTGCCATGGCCATCGCATTATTCACGGGTAAGCACGCCATAAGAGAAAATTTTGACAGTGCCTGAAAGTTATGAAGAGCTGACGGTTTACTTTGTGTAATTTTAGACACTTTTCTATATACGTTCCTCGTGCCGATTCTTCCCTACGTACTTGAGAATCGCCTTGGACTGGACGTCGCATTGACGCAGCGCATGAGTTTTGCCTTGTTGTCCGAGAGCGCGGTAGCGTCCCTGATTACGAGTCCTTTTATCGGTCACTATGCGGATGGGCTATCGTCGAAGAGAGCGCTACTGGTTGGGTCTCTAGTGGCGGCTTTGATTGGGTCCATAATTTTGGCGATGGCGACTTCGAGTGAGTGACCTTACGACTACGTGGCGGATGAAGGCCAGAAGGAATACGCTGTTGGGATGCGGGGATGTGCTGACGCCTAGGCAAACAGCTTTCACGCTTTTCGCCGGTCGTCTTGTTCAGGCAATTGCGAGCTCCTTTATCTGGGTCGTAGGATACGCCACTATCGCAGATAACGTTCGGCCGGAGCATCTGGGTAAAACCTACGGCGTCATTTCCCTAATTGTTGCAGCGGGTACCTCGGGCGGACCCATGGTAGCGGGAATACTCTTTGAGCTGGGAGGCTACTGGGTCGCATGGTCGAGCGCCTTCGCAATCCTGATCGTAGACATTGTCCTGCGATTCCTCATGCTAGAAAAGTCAAAAGAGAAAAAGGGTAGGTGGCGTCTCAGCTCGCGCCCGAACGTCCAACTAATTCTGTGCCAGAAGAAGTAACGCAGCCTCCGCACAACAGCGCCTCGGTGGATCCGGAGAATGCACCGCTTCTGGGGAACACCAATAATGTAAACGTACCGAATCTGGCGGGCTGGAGGTTCTATGTCGTTGTCTTGCAGCATCGCCGATTCCTGGCCGGCGTGGTCAGCTTTTTCTCCTTCGCAGTTCTGATCTCGAGCTTCGATACTACCCTTCCGCTCCATGTCCGCGACGTATTCGATTGGGGAAGTTTCCCCGCGGGGATGATGTTCTTCGCCCTACAGGGCCCTGGCATTATTCTTAGCCCGTTTTGTGGCTGGCTGAAAGACCGGGTTGGTACGAGGTGGCCGACGACGGCGGGGTTCCTTCTCCTGGCACCAATCATGTGGGTGATTGGCATGCCGGGCGACGACCGCTTCCCTTGGGTCAATGAAGGCGACAGAGCAAAAGTGATCTATACGATCTGCGTCACCCTCGTAGGATCCGTTTCATGTCTGATGAATGGGGCCGCAACCATCGAAGCCACAGGTGCGTTACTTGTATCCCACGGATAGGGGGTTAGTCTAACTGTAACTCCGGCAGTCACAATTGACGAGCTCGAAGCCGAGACGCCTGGAATCTTCGGTCCCAATGGAGGCTACTCGCGGGCCCTCTCCATGGCCAGCATGAGCTGGACCCTGGGAGCATTTATCGGGCCCGTGCTTTCTGGATACCTGGCGGAGCACGTCGGGTACTATGAAATGAGCACTGTGATTGGTAAGTTGATGTTGACTGCTTGGCACTTGCGGATTGAAGCTGACGTTGGTAGCCGTTGTGTGTGCGGTCTCCGGAGTCAATGCGTTCTGGAACCTGGACTCTCGGGTGCATTTCGACCGCGTGAGGGAGTCTCAATAGATGATGTGCGCCCGCATGATTGCTTAAAGTTTCGTTTGCATGGTGTATCGTAGAACATTTTGCATGTGATGCCAAGGACGACGTTTATGAGACATGTCATAAAAGCTTTGAGTTTAGACGTATCCTTTGTTTGACAGATATGAATTTTGGTTTGCCTTTTACTGAGCGGTGGCTTTTGAGGCGTCTAGTCTCGACTAAGAATGACTTATTTAGAGTGTTCTCCGGACGAAACCGGACCCTTGAGACACTTTGGGGCTCGCTTAAATCAAGGCCGGTCGGCTGTTCTTGCAATCGGATCGGCTGGCACGGTAGCACAAGTCAGATGTGACATGGCACAATTATCCGAGATGTATGTCTCCGAGGTACGAAGTGCAAAGTACGCGAGCGTCGGCGGTTATTGTCTCCGTGAGCGAGATACCTCCAGGCTCCCACCCCCCTGCAACCTTAATGTTTGCCGGCTCCGACAGGAAACTTCAGGATGAGTGTCGATCTCTCAATAAAGTTTGATGACAGTCATACTTGATCAGAGGTTCGAGCAAACGTGCATTAGCTCGACACACGGGGCGGAGGAGCTCTGGCGCGTATCTGAGACCGATTGGAGACAATAGGAGTGTTTCGCTAGTTTGGCGATGGGGAATATGGAGCTCATCTCAAAATAGACACAAGTAACCCCGATCCATGATGTTTGAACGAGTCAGTGAGTCAGTCTAATCCTGAGTAAGGCAGTGTGGTTGAAGGGGATGAAGATAGGAGAAAGCTTTGAAGACGGTGTGTTGTTTTTGTTTTGTTTGTTTGTTCTGGAAGAGAGGAGGGAGGCTAAGGCAGCCCAGGGGAAGGCCCCAGGCCCCCTCTTTTCCTAAACCTGCGTGGCGGCCTCGGGACTTCTTCCCATTCGGGACTTCTCTTCTACAGCCACCAACTCCTTCCACTACTGTGTATGTCGGCATATCTCCTTCGAGGCTTGTCTCTTCAACACAGCGCACACGCTGATCTAGCGCTCTATACTATCTGAGTATTAATCATTCTTCGTATTCTCAGTCTTCCAGTCAAGATGGAAACTAAACTGGACGGATCACTTGCCAGGGTCGTTCTGTTATCCGATGACCGATCGTCAGGGACACGCGGTTCCCCCAACGCTCTGGACCCAAACCTGGGCAGCCTTCCCTGCAGCCACGCAGTGACAGGTTCGATCAAGCTCACTCGTCCCAAAGTTTGTATCTTTCCCGAGACACGAATCGGACCTGTCCAACCACCCCGTCCCTCTTCCAAGTTCCCCTTGGCTCCTTCTCACGGCCGTTTTTGGGTCACCGGCGCAGGATGTGACAGGTCCACTGTGTCTTGATTGACAGGCTGCGGGGAAAACATCATACTCGCCCATCAACAAGATTTCTAGATTGCTAATGCCGCAGGCTTGTGCGCTAGTGGCGCTCCCCTCCTCTCTTTTTTTTTTGCCTCCTGAGACTCAATTCTTCGACACTTGTCATTGTCAGCAAGACCTTCGAGCGCCAGGCAGCCCTTTCAATCCGAAGCCACCACACAGAAAGGCTACATCAGTTATCCGCGACAGTCTGTTTGACGGTGGGGCACGGAAGGGGGTGGGGGCCAATTACGACTTGTGACCTCGTTCGCTGGAATGGCCTCTAGCCACGGACAACTACCGTTGGAATGGAGAACGGAGACGGAGTGCGGACATAGTCTCCTGTGCTATAATCCCAACTAGCAGTAGCGGAATGAGGGAGGGAAAGGAGGAGAGGAAGGAGGCGGAGAATACCCATCTTCGCTGGATCTCGAAGCGGAGTCGAGACCATCCTGATCATTTCGGATTGCTGTCGATAACGCAGAGTGATGGACACCTCCCGAAGGAAACCACATGGTTGGGGACCACCGTTCATTGTCGTGGAACAGTATCTGCAGTGATGCGCAGAAGAAATCTTATTCGGGATCAAGGGGGCGCGCGACCGCCGACCGGGTCGCTGGACCCGGCCTGGTCGAGGAAGATTTGGCTTGAGGAATAGCAAGGATTGATCCCGGTCGGAGTTCCATGATGGGATCGGCAGATTTGTCCGGAATGTCTTATTCAGCCCTCGAGGCTGCTGAAAATTCATCAGGGCCTGCGTGTGCAGATTGCTGCAGCCAGACGCACAAGGAAAGGAAAAAAGAAAAGACCCCTGCTTAGTCACGACTAGTGTCTTGGCCTCAAACACACTGCATAAAAAAAGAAAACAAAAATCAACAGGAGGGAGGCGGGCAACGAAGAGCAAACCCCAGTGCAGTCTGCGTCAATCGAGGTCTCTCCTGAATCCTGATCAGATGAACTCGCTTCCCCATCAATGTTAATCTCGAATAATGCCACACGGACCAACCGCTGGGTCAAAGAGCCTCGGTCTGACCCAGCCATCGAGCTCCTTTCCATCTTCCTGGCAGCCCCAAAGAGGCTTCCGCCCAGAGTCCCAAAGTTCTTTACGAGTACCGAGCGGGCCACAACGGCTACAATGGAATGATCCAGCGTTCCTACCACGGAACTAATAAAGTTCAGTCACTGACAGCTGCTGGCTTCCAACCTATGACGTCTCGGGTTGACTGCTCGTCGGGCAGTCGGGTGGAGCTGCGGATGAAGGCCTGGCGCCGGCGGAAGTCGTAGCTCATCGGGTTTGGGGCAGTCCTAGCCTATGAGGCCTGTGAGGTGTGGATTCCTGCAGACAAATTTTTCCTAAGTGCCAAATTTTGGCTGTCTCGAAACTGGATGCCAGGGCCAAGTTCCGAACACTCTCCATTTTCCGGCCGAACATGTCCCCTCCTCAATGGCTCCCCCAAACCATCGCTGATGCACCGGTCTTATTGGTCTATATATAAATCTTTTGGTCTCCTGTGCCCTTTGCCCCTAGGTATCGGTGGCCGATGTATCTCGCCCCCAAAGCTTTTTTTGCAAGAATCCTTTCCTTTTATCTGACTCTTGCCCTCTTGAGAGAATAATCTCCTCGGTTCTGGACAATCGACTTGCATACCACACTCCTTATATAACCGCTTTCCCTGCCGCTCTATGTATACTATTTTCTACATTGTTGAAGCACTATAGGATCTTATCGAAGCTACATCACGATGGATGTCGGATATGAAGCGACCCCGCCGCCTTCCGCGGGGAAGGATTGGGCCAGTTTCTGGAATTACGTCGACAGAGCACCCCCAACCGAAGAGAGCGACCCCGTTCCCCGCGACATCCTCGTTGTTGGCGCCGGCATTGCGGGCATTGCCGCTGCCCTGGCCCTTTCCAAAGAATTGACACCCTTCGTCCCCGACCTCCGTATCACTGTCTATGAACGACACGATATTCTTTCCACCTCCGGTGGTGCCATCAACCTCACTCCTGTCGCCCAGCGGCATCTCGATCGTCTTGGGGTGCTAGCAGAGTTGGACCGGCTCGGTCCGGAAGGTGGTACTGATGTGGATGCCATCGAACTATATTCTAGTCGGTCCGGACGTTCCCTCGGCTCGGTTGACTTTGTGGATGAACATGGTAATGGGTTCGGAGGATATAAGGGTCGCCGTGTGATGCGGATTGCTCTCTCGGTAGCCATGTTGACGGTCGTTGAACGATCCAAGAATGTGAACGTTGTGTTCGGCAAGAAGCTGGTCCGGGGAAAGGAAACGAAAGACAAGGCCATGCTTTACTTTCATGACGGCACTACAGCTACAGGGGACTTGGTCCTCGGTTGCGACGGTGTGCACTCGGCGACTCGGATGTACTGGGTTGACCCCGACAGTCCATCCGAATACACCGGTATCTCCTTCTGTCAGACTCTCGTTGACAGCAAAAAGATCAAAGCCCCTGTTCACTTCCGCTCCACCTCGATGAACATCTCTCGCCATGGGTCGCTACTGGCCAGCTACTGTGACCGGGACCACGAGCAGATTTTCTTGGCCGCTATTGTTCAGTTCCGCGAGGAACTACTTCCTCACTACCGCATGGACCCTGGTCAGGATTGGCGGCGGACTGCTGCGATCAAGCAAGCTCTGCGCCAAGAGATGCAAGACCGCTTCGGTCGTTCCGGAGTACCTTGCATCCGGGACTTTGTCAACAAGGCGGACGACTGGATGTTGTATCCTGTCTGGCAAGTACGGCCTAATGCCCGGTGGTACCGGGGCCGAGTGATTCTTCTGGGTGATGCAGCACATGCGGTACGTTGCCATCTTGGCATGACTTGTGATTCGAATACTGATTTGACTAGATGCCTCCCCGTGACGAGTCGGCGGCGTATGCGCTGGACGATGCTATCCTGTTCTCTCGGATTCTCGCCAAGCACCGGTACGAACCGTTGACCGTGGCGTTCAAAGCCTACGAGGATCTGCGTCGGGGCACGGTGAACGCGGCGTTCCAGGTGTCCCGCCGGATGTGGGAGAAGAACCGCGACATGGGGTTCCTGGAAGGCCGGCTGAAGGAGTGGACCTACCCGATGCAGGTCCGCAATGGGAAAGACTCACGCGAGGCGGCCTGGGAATTTGATGCCACCAAGGTCTCGATTCCGGGAACCCTCAGCGACCAATCTTCATCTCTCTACTCGTCGGAACGAGATTTCCTTTAGACTATTTGCATGGGCGGTGTTTCGGTTTGGTTTGGGATCCGGGTCTATGGATGGGTTGGTTACGAGAATACGAACTGGGATACATTGCATCGATACAATTGTTGTCAAAAAGAATGCTAGGCTTGAAGTGTTGGCGGGGCTATGGGTTTTGTTAGTCTCGGCCGCACCTTTTGGCTTTTTTTATTTCTTTGCTTTCTTATCTGCCTGGCATTTTCTTTCTAGGCTACTATTACTTTTTTTTTTCTCTCATATATACTAATCTCGCCTATACACCATGACACTTTCGGGCTCTGCTTCTATGGGGATATATTCATCTATTGACCAAGGCACAATCTATTTCTTCATCTATTCTGCCAGGTTTCCGGGAAGAAAGTGGAAAGGGAATACCCACCAAAACCCGAGCGGTATCCGCAACGGTTTCCAACTCCGGACGGCCGTTCTCGGAGATTAATCTATTTTTTTTTTTATTTTTGTTTTCATTTTCTTTCCCCCCCCCCCCTGGTCCTGCGGATGGAATCGATAGCTCCCGATAGCGCATCCGCTAACCCCTTCTTGTTCAGTGCTCGGAAGCACTAAAATTGTCTAGTTCCGGGCTGTCATCCAGCATCAACCGTCTTCTTCGCCGAACCTCCGGCTATTGAGTCTCGTGCATGCGACAGTGAGATTTAGTGTTTGAGATCGTGGGAAATGGATGAGGAGAGACTCCACTTGGGAAGGATGGCAAGGATCCCACGGGGTTCGCCGAGAGACAAACAAAAAAAGTTTGAGATTGAGGATCCGACATCTACCTTTTTTAGTTGATGCTTTTCTTGTTCTCTGCATGCCATCATCCTGTAGGATCGGATCCTGGCTTCTGTTCAGTGCCTGGTAGGGTTGGAGTCGCTGACCAGGATGCGATGCATGGCTTTCTTTCATGCATGCATGCATGCATGCATGCATCGTGGTGGTTTCCCTGATCAGCATAGTTGCTGCCTAGTTCCTGGCAAGTTCGCTGGTAGTGTACGGAGTAGTTCAACCAGGGAAGCTCACCTGGCAGTGTATCCCTGCTCCCCGGAGCATGCATGGATTTGTCTTCCTCCAATCGGCGAGTGTGTATTTCCCAGCCTGCTTACTGCATAGACCTGCCTGCTAGGTACTATGCTTACGCCGTATGAGCCATGCAGTAAGCTTATCAAGTGGTTTCCCGGAAATTCACGGAAAGGCTCTGCGTTAAAATCAGGCAAGAAGAGTCTTCCACCCGTGATGAACTAGGATGTAAATCTCTGCGCTGAGGTTTTGCGAAGTTGCACGCATTCCCCCGCTTTCTGCAAAATTGATTGACACTTCAAGTGGATGATTTACTCTCCCACTTCCACCAGCTACACCCGTCTCATTCCACCCGAAGTCCTCGATAATTGTACGTTCCATGAAGCAGCGGCCTGAAGTTGAGAACGAACAACACCCGCTAGCTTAGACTGTAATGTATTCGTAGTTCAGTCTTACAGTCTTACCTTCCCACCGCGAATCTCGGGGGAATGAACTACCGCGCACTAAACTCCTTCCACTTAGCTATGGCATGAACTACGGGATTGACTGTCAATCAGTAAAGTGGGATTGGACTGTACTGTACTGGGCAAATCTAGAAATAGCAGATCTCGAATAGCAAGTCAAAAAGGGAATCGAACCGCGGATCTCGAAACAGCAGATCTAACCGACATGACACGAACCTCCAGCCCTGTCCCCCCGAATCATCTCCGAGACAATCTCCGGAATAAGGTTATGAACAGCCACGAAGGATTGAGTTCGCCGGAGGAGGCACGGGAATTTTCGAGAAGGGTTGATCATCAACTGGAAGATCGAGATCTCTTTTTTGAGTTTCTCAAGGAGGAAGGATGGATCGATAGTGCGAATCACCCTTGGATCCTTTTGTTGCATGACGGTTGCTGTACACAAACCGATTCTTAACTGGGAACTACTGAAGTAACATTTCAGTTTGATTTTGCGGATGCGGATGCGTGCCGGGCAAAGGGAGAGGATCGATCCTTTGATGTTTTTCAACTCGCTAGTCAATCCGTGTTAAGCCTATTTCATTGGGACTTATTTAGAGCCTGAAGGGGATGATGGGGGTTGCATGATTGCGGTACCGCACACGGTACGGTAGTTGTGGTTGTGGTGTACTTAATCTAGTAGTGATGACGTCGGGGCAATCGTGGAGTCTACCTCTTTTTCCATCGATAGCACCTCATGCTCGGTTCGATACCCGATGTATGGAGGTTTCATTTTTTTTTTTTTTTTTTTTTTTTGGTCGAGGTTGGAAGTGGGGGGAGGTCGGGTCCAAACGGTCTTGTGCTCTCTTTCCTCTTCGGGGGCTGGAGCTGGGGATGGGGTTGGGGGTGGGGGTGGGGGTCGGTTGCTGTGGATTCGTGGATTCGGTACTGTGTACAGTACAGTGACTTACTGTACTTCGGCTGTATCTCCCCTTGTTTATGCTCCCTTTACATCCATAGATACTCCATGGACCGTACCTTAGTTGATGTTGATCAGCCCATGGGTGATGCTCTTCCGGCCTAGCCCTAGCCCAGCCCAGCCCTCCGAGCTGAGCTAAAGTCCGGTTGCCGCGGGAAGGCCGCCGCTGCCGCCGCCGCCGCAGCTCGCTTATCCATCCCCGGATCAGGTGATGTCCTCTCGGGATCGGGGATCGGATCTGCTCCTTCGCGGGTGGAGACGTACGTACTTTCATGAGATTTGATTCCCCGGGAATTACGTGCTTGGCTGGCTGTTTAGATGGACGCGGAGGGATCGTGGGGTGGCCGTTGCTGAGGTGCTCGGAGCTGGGTGGTGGCATGATCGGGGGATTAGGGCTGGGCTGATCGAGGCTGGAAGGTTTCTGGTAGTTGGTAGTTCGAGACACCGAGGTTCGTTGCTTCTGTGATCGTTTTAGGTCAATCTAAGTGATTGTATAAAGTACTAAAGAGCCAGTACTCACGAGATGGGGAATTTGTAGTCTAGTGCATACAGGATTTAAGAAATCTGGGTGCCGGGTTCTAGATCGATCCAATTCTGGAGACTTCTTCATCAAAGAAACACTGGCAATCGATTTGAAGTAAGTTGTCTGATCCAGTCACAATACCAACCACTACAACTAGCATACTATGACCTGCCGCCATTCGGCCAAATGGTTGACAGATGCGTGTATGCTCTTTCCAAAACTACATTCAAAGGCCCTGCCTCAGTAATGAATGCACCGTTGTCTGTGGACGGGAAATGATGCTTCAAACTGCTGTAGGTCAATGCAGAAAGAGCGCTCATAGTCTGGCTTGTACCTAATTGTAGACTTACAATTACTGCACATGATGAGATGGGAAAGAGTGCAACAATTCAAACTGGGGAAGGAAGAGCTGAGCCCACAGTGTTTACAAAACCCACTTCCTCGCCATCTAAGTCATTTTCACTCCATTCATCGTTATCGTTCCAGCTACAATCTACCAGATTTTATCGATATCATAGACCGCTTTCTCCTCACCATATCCCCTCACTTACCACCCACCGCCCTTCACTCTCTACCGCACAACTACCAGCCCGACCCATCCACACACAATGTCCAGCACCGCCGCCGTCGGCTCCGGCACAACCGGCAACACGACCCCCATCAAGATAGACGATGGTACCTCCACCGCAGAGGAGCACAGGGACAGGCCCTCGAATAGATACGATCGTCTCGCGCAAAGCTTCTGCAAGCTGACCGCGTCGGAGAAGGGGAAGTTCCAGGAACTGGTGACAGCGGACCGCAGAGTTCATTCTATCGACAACCTTAACGACTGGCGCGAATTCTACCTGGACCTGCTAGGGGTGAGCTGTACAGACAGCGATCCTTATTTTTACAGTGCGGACGCAAAAACAGAAATCCCCCCCGTGGTGCGGAAGTTGTTCAATGATCCGTCCAGCTTCTCCGGCTTCATCTACGCGAACGCGAACTGGGCGCTCTCGTGTTCGGTGTACGCTGCAGGACTCTTCACAGCCTCAAAGAAGGGGCCCCTCACGGCGAGCCACTCCGCGTACCCCACCGTCGCCACGATGGTTCATTGTATTGTGAATGAGATAAACAAAGAGAACGCAGCCGCAGCCGCCGCCGCCACCACGGCCAATGCAAATGCAAACGAAAACGAAAACGCAGACGCAGACGCAAACGCAGCCGCAGCCGCAGCAGCCACAGAGTCAGAGCCCGCAACAGCAGGGCCCAGCGGGCAAACTGAGGGCCAACCACCACTACCGTTACGACCCCCACCGCTGGTGCCTCCACGTCCCACTGCAGGTCCAGCACACCCTCGCCTCCGCATGGCACCCAACCACCACCTAAAGATAACCCACTACCGGCGTGCTGGATATATTCGAGGCCCGGTGTGATCTGGCCGTCTTGAGCGGCGGCCAGGAACCACACGTGCGCTGCGGCATTCTAGGGCGTGGGTGGGACGAGAACCGCGATGGCGCTCTGAAGATGATGCAGACGTTTCTGGCCCTCGCCCAAGAGGACGAGCAACGTACGGGTCGCCTGCGGCCCGTTCATGGGATCATCACGAGTGGGCTCAGCGTTAGCCTCTGCGAGATGAACGAGCAGCGCGAGTTTCGCCACACCGATTTCCGGGATACGCTGCCACCGTACCACCATGCTGAGGGACACAATGGGCCCGGCGCCGTTCGATTTGCCACGACACGGCTTTACAGCAATATCAAGGACATGCTACATGTGGAGGGCTCGGATCCAGAACCGCCGGAGAGTACGGGGCGGAGCCGGCGAGGCACGCGGCCCAGGTCGAACGCTGTGTCGAAAGGGAAAGAGCCAGCTTCCGCCACTGATGATGCCTGAAACTAGTGGAGTGAGGGTGGTGTTGGTGTTTGCCTTGGTTGTTTCCCGTTGCGTCTGTCATTCGCTGGGCTTTTATTTTTCTTTTTCTGCAGAATTGGGTGGAAAAGTGTCATAGTCATTCCTTCGTTACTTAGCAGCTTGTGTAGTCTAGCAGGTAAGAATCGGTATTGCTGATCATGAAGCAAGCTTATAGTGGTTAATTGTTTGGATGTTATTCATCCTCCGTGTTTTTAATAGAGATCTCCTGGGTGACGACTACAGCCAGCCTAGAATACCTCATTGACAAGGAGTAGTTAGGTCGATCCAACATTCGAGTCTAGTATGCAACGACACTTACTCAACTCGAAGTCTGGCTTAGATATAGATGGTGATGTGTCTAGGTACAGTACCTCTATATCTCTTGCGTAGAATAAGCTGATATGGACCAACCAATACTCACATCCCGCGCATAGTGCAGCTGTAACTGGACACCTGCAACCATACCACATGGCATCGCTTACTCCAAGCAAAGCGTCGACATTTCCATTTTATACGCATGGATGACTTCTCTTCCATCTCGTCTCCACCTTGGTTTTGTTTGTATGTTTCTGCCTTTGACCGATGTCTCTGCATTTGTGCCATACACCACTTACAGCCTTAGCCAAAAAGAAAACTGCACATGTGATACAGTGAGTTCATTCGCATAGCACCTCTGGACCTACTGTTACTGCAACACTCTAACAGATCCTCTCATCAAACACAAGACAAACTTTTTCACTATACATTACATCCTTGCCCCCTTCCCCCCCGGCCCCTCAGCCTACGCAACCCACACGCACCCCGCAAAGCAGACCCTCGCCACCGCGATCACCCCAGCCCCAACCAACGCACTCACGCCCGCAAAGACAATCGCCGCCTCGTAGCCGCCAGACCGATTGATCATGGCGCCCGTGATCGGCGTGCCGGTCAAACACGCCAGACTCAGCACCCCCAACGCCATGCCCATATACGAGCCCATGACGTTGGGCCGGGGGGCGGTCATGGCCACCGTGGCCGTGAACAGGCCAATCACCGCGCCGGAGAAGAACCCGAACAGCAGGGCAAAGACGATCATGCTGCCCTTCGAGTCCACGGCCCGCCAGCAGAGGATCAGCACCCCGGAGATGGCCGCCGCCAGGACCAGGCCGTTGAACCGGCCGATGCGGTTGGCGAGCGCCCCGGTCAGGAGCCGGCCGGCGAACGAGCCGGCGTTCATGATGGCGACCAGGTCGTTGGACAGGTCGACGTCCAGGCCTAGGACTGTCTGGGCGTAGTCCGGGACGTAGAAGAAGGGGGTGAACAGCGCCCACATGACTAGAAAGAGGCCCAGGATCTGTAGCGTGTAGGCCGGGTGGTGCCAGGCTTCTTGGACGAAGGGCGCGCCGGTGCGGCGCGGCGCGGCGGGCGAGGAGACGCATGCGCCGGCTATGAGGCTGAGCGCCAGCATGAGGAAGCCGAGGATGCGCACCGTCCAGCCGAATCCCAGTGGGGTGGCGTGGAGCATGCGGTTGAGCGCGATGGGGAGCACGACGCCCGCGAAGGAGGAGCCCGACGAGGCGATCCCCATCGCTAGCGGGCGGCGGCGCAGGAAGTATTGGTTTACTGCTGTCAGCGTCGGCGTGTAGGTTAGCCCGTTCATGAGGCCGCCCAGGATGCCTTGGGCGAGGAGGAATTGGTAGTATCGCGTGCAGAGGCTGGTGAGCATGACGGAGAGGATGAAGAGGAGGGAGCAGGGGAGCAGGATTCTCTGGGCGGGATGCGGGGTCAGCTGGGTTGCGGGGGCGGGGGGGTTAGGGCTGGGTGTGGACGTACTCTGGGGCCGTAGCGATCCATCAACGGACCCGAGATGAGGCCGGCGGAGAACATGAAGAAGGCTTGCAGGGAGCCGATCCAGGCGATATTGGAGGCGCTTTCGTTCTGGAGGAATGTGCTTTGGTAGTAGGCTTCGTAGATTCTGGGGCTCGGTTAGCTTTGAGACGGGGTGACCTGCGAGGGGCATGGCATACCCGAATGCATTGATGTAGCCGAAGGTGTTGAACATCACACACCAGCATGCCACAACTGCTAGCCACGCCTTTACGCCTCCTTCAGGGAAGCTCGGGGGTTTCGGGGGGCTCGTCTCTTCCTTTGGCGTGTGGTCCGAGGACATGCTATTCTTCTCGACGTCGGACATGATGACAACAGACTCAGGTCGGAATTCGGATGCAGAATGGATAGGTCATCGATTGCTTCGTGCTATAACAAGGTAGGAAAAGGTCGGAGGAGCCACACTAGATATATTTGTATACATCGTCGGATCGGGGGAGTGGCTCGGGGATTTCCCGATTCGGACGATAACTGCCTGGCCCGAGTCGGGGCCGAACGGACCCTCCGAGCTTGATTCTCAATCGGCCTGCTTTGGGTTTAGGGCAATCTGATAAGCATGCCCTGCGGTGGACTTCTACACAGTATGCTTCCTACTTTCTCTAGGGGCAATGCCTCATGTCTCCAGCCGACTCAGTCTCACTCAACGAACATAAAAACCACATGAGAGTGACACATGGAGTTTGCATCAAAAGCCCACAACATCCCCGATTCAAAACCAGGTACGCTGATATGGTTCAAAATACTTCAACTCACAGTGAGCAAGCCAACACGAACTTGCCTCATCGAGACAATATACCAATTCTAGTATCAAGACGTCACAAGGCACAGATTTCCTACTCCTACAGCAAGACCACCCCCTACTCCAACACCACCCTAATCATATACCCATACAACGGTCCCGCCCCCTGCGTCACGCTCCCATCGTCCTCCAACGCCACCATCACCACATCCTCCGACACATACCTCCAATGATCGATGCAGGGCTTGGTATCATAGATCAGCGCGGCCGAAACCACCTCGCGGAACTTGACTTCGCGCAGCTGTCCCCGACAGACATCAGCTCTCCTCATATGACAACCTGCCCGTCGAGCACAGGCCAAGCTGGGTTCGGAGATACACAGTACATACCCTCGAATTCCCCCAATCCTCCGCCCTCGTCCAGTTTCCCTCCGCATCGAACACCATGAGATTCACCTCGTTCACGGAAATAAAGTCCTTCCCCGCGAAATGCATCGGCTCAATGACGGCCTGCTCGGCGGGGTGGCCGCTGTGGAAGATGTAGCCTCGCCAGCGGCTGCCGATGAGCTTCTCCGGGGCGATGGGCTGGAGCTTGTCGTAGACGGTCGCGAGTTCTGCGTCGGTCACTTGATTGGGGCGCTTGGTGAGGGCCCAGAATTGGGATTCCAGGGTGCTGGACGGGGGGGTTAGTGGGTCTTGTCTGGGTGTTGGAGGGCCGAGGAGTATACGTGCCTGTTTGTAGTTTGGGTGGATTCTTTGGTCATCTTGCTTGCAGGGGTGGGGGGGGGGGGTTCGGGACAGAAAGGGATAACAAAGCTGTGTGCAGTGTTGCAGTATCAATTGCTTGGATTGTTGACGGTTGATTGTGTTTGCTAAAGATGTTTCGAACTACTTATTCTTGATGGTATTTATTTAGTAGGATGGTAGTGCATGACGTTAGAGCGTCCGACACAATGATAAATACCCAGTATGCTCTGGCGGAGGATACAGGGAGCTTGTACACCAGTGACGTGCGCACACGCAAGGGGTAGAGCAGAATCCTGCCAGAATGGTAGATCCTTCCCGAACAACCTGCACAACTCCCCCATAGGGCTCGTGGCATAACAAGGCACGCAGGTCGAACCTTACCGAGTAATGCTGTGCTACTCCCGGCTTGAGCAATTTTGGAGCCTTGTAGTACAACATGAATCAGAATATTCAAGCCTGCTTCTTCGACGCCGCAGGTATGACATCGTGGAGTCCAATTGATCTGCAATCTCGTGTTACAGCGGAAATGCTCCCAACGTCAATCACAGTCTGCAGTTTTTAACTCCCCCAAAACCGGTCGGTGGCTGCGTTGGGTGAATGTATAGTATGCATCGCGACGCTGTTAGGTTTAATTCCTGTGGCGACTGAGAAACCCTATTCTACAAGGCTATCTTGAATTGTTGAATATACGTACTATCAAAAAGCATTGCAAGCCCTGAGCTTGGACTACTAGGTATCCGATCGACCATCTATTTCTATTGTACAGGAAACGTACCTCTGAAACCTTGAGGTTGTCTAACACTCTTGGATATTTTGTACTGTACATAGCACTTCTGTGATAATGAGCTTGATGTTATAAAATAGAACCTTTTTAAAGATATAGATTGTATGATAGAGTGGCCTTAAATACTAGAGTAAGCCTATACCTTCACTGTTCCTAAAAAGGACAGAATTACGATTGATGAATGCACTATACTTCTATACAAAGATTGAGTACCGAACAGGGTACAATATTATTGTTATACTCTGTCCTACTGGTTTAATGTTCTTTCTCCCTCCTCTACCTTTGCCCTTGTCTAATCCATAACCACACCAGATAAAAATAGAAGAAAAGGTTACCCAGTTCATATCGCCCCTCCACCTCAGAAAGACCCTTACCGAGAAATCGCAATCAAGTGCAAAGCTCAAATTCAATCATTCAATCAATCAATCGACTAATCACTCACAACCCGCAAACCAACAGTCCCACCCCCATGAACCCTAATCCTTCTTCTCCCCCTTCGCAGCCTCATCATTCTCCACAAACCACCGGACACTCCTCTCCAACCCCTCCCTCACCCCCACCCTCGGCCGATACCCCAACACCCGTCTCGCCTTGCCCCCATTTAACGTCCTCACCAACGTACTGAACCGAATCCCCTCGCGGGTCATGTTCGCCTTCCTCGTGCCCCCCGAGACCACCCAGGCCACCCACTCATTCACAAACCCGATCGTCAACCCAACCCACTTGGGAATAACCACCACATCCTCCTTCCGCACCGGCTTGCCCACCAACCTCGACACCTCGCGCTGGAAATCCCAAAACAGCCAGGGCTCCTCGTTGGTGACGTGGAAGCACTCGCCATCGACTCTGTCCTCCACCGGGGCCGGCTGACCCCACGCGTCCAGCAGTTTCCGGGCGGCCAGAACATGCGCCTCGGCCAGATTCCCCACGTACACGAAATCGTACCGGTTGCGGCCGTCGCCCATCTGGAAGCGCAGCTTGCCCTGGCGCGCGACGGCGTACATCTTGCCGAGGGTGCCGTGGTCGCGTTCGCCGAAGGCGAGGGCGGGGCGGATGGCGCAGGTGAGGAGGCCGGTGTCGGAGGGGGTGCCGGGGGCGGCGGTGCGGTTCGCGGCGGTGACGGCGTCCTCGGCGTCCGCTTTGGCGATGCAGTACAGCCGCTGCTGCGCGGGCGGGCGCAGGATCGGTAGCTCCTCGGTCGCGTCGACGAGGTCGGTGTGGTTGTCGTTGATCACGCCGGACGTCGACGTGTTGACGAGGGCGCGCGCGGTGCCCACGGCCCGCGCCGCGGCGAGGAGGTGCTGCGTCCCGTCCACGATGATCCCCCGGTAGGCCGATTCGGGCTCGTCGGAGAACTCGGGCGAGGCCGTGTGGAAGATGGTCGTCGGCCGCGCGAGCTGCATGATGCGCTGCACGTCGGCCGCCCGCGCCATGTCGCCGTCGTGGTAGTGCACGTTGGCCGCGGCGTGGCGGTTGCGCGAGGTGTGGATGTCGATGGAGTGGATGGTGCACTCGGGTTCCGTCTCCAGGATCTTGGCGATGATGTGGTAGGCGATGAAGCCGTTGCCGCCGGTGATGAGGACGGGGCTGAGGGTCGGCATTTGGGGGGTTGTAGCGGGCTTAGGGTTGGGGTAGGGG